TTTATAGCTTGCTGAGAGCTGTGCTATTAATAATAGCACATCTCTCGGCAAGCTATAAAAAGCTATTATATATTATATGACTCATTTTCAGGATAATAGTTTTAAGAATAAAGTTTAAAGTAACAACAGTCTATAATATAATATAGTTATATGACGTTGTGCAGATTGTCGTTTCTCCGATTTTCAGTCTTTTAATCAAATCTGTGCTGTTTTATTTAGGAAATGCTTTTAACTTGCTGCTGTTAAAAATAAACATTTTCTGGTCCAAAATGATTTTAAAATCTATAAAAGGCCACTACATATAATACATACAATACGTAAGTAACTATTGAACAACTTCAGACGAACCAGCCTCGTTTCTATTGTACTACAGTCCCACTGCTGTAGCCGAGTGTGATGTTGAGGGCTGCAAGTTTAAATCTTCCGACCGTCATGGCAGATGGATTCGAAAAAGGTAGATATAAGATGTATAAATGGACTATGCACTATGACATATTTATATGTTTTGAGCCGAGTATTAGCTTTTCAAACGTTTTATCGGCAAACCCATTCATGAAATCAAAATGGTCACATTTCGTTAAAGTTAAGTTGATTCAATTTTTGTTTTATTTTGACCCTGCTCTCTTCAGGATCCATACACGGAGGAGGAAACCAGGGTACCGTTCACAGAAGCAAGAAGTTATGTGTCCCGATGCAGGGTCTGTCACCGACCCGAAGCAACCAAAATCGTTTTTAAGGACTTGCAATTTGATGAGTGATTTATAAGGGACACCATTTTAATTGTTAATAGTGAAATTTTCCGATTTTAAACGCTTTTTATCGTCAAATCCAAATTCGAGTATTTATATCACACCCTAATATGTAGTATGTACTACCATAATGCCTTGCAGTTGCCCTTACGTGCAAAAATACGTGTTTTCTGCTACGAGTTTGGAGACTTAACCATTAATTGGACACAACACACAATAGTATGATGTGTAAGGATCAAGAATATGTTTAGAAATATAAATAGGACTTTATTAGTAGGGGGTGCACGATGAAAATAAACTTGCTCGGATTTTTAAAATTTTTGTACCATTGTTTTCTAGAGACTGTGAGAATTTTCACAGTACCATTTTCACAGTACCAAATTTGATCAATAAGTTTCGCATAGGTGCCGTATTTGATGGTGCGCGGCTACTGCACACTGCAATGTGCAAGCGAGAGGGCTCTAGAATCTGGATAGAGCAAAAAATTTGTGACAACCTTCCAATAGGGCTTTCACAACTGTCCGAAAAATTTGGTGGATATCGGAGTTGATACAGCCTTAGTTGGTCAATACGTATTCGCACCCGGTACGGCGGTACGGGTACGCGCGTACCAAGTTCTGGCCCCGATAGCGGTACGTGCGTACCCACACCCGCACCCGCACCCGAAAACTCAGAAGTGAATTTGAGAATTAATATTTATTATATATTGTCTTTTATTTTGTCTCTAGCTCTGAGATAAGTGACTTCTTTTGCCAAATTCGATCAAGGGTTCACCTAATTTCAAACCACATTATGGAACTTTTGAACAAATAAATGTTTTAACTGAGATTCTCTCAGGGCGTTCATATAATGTATAAGTTCTATGAACGCCCTTTATAAATTTCAGCTCAAAACATTTATCTGTTCAAAAGTTATGAAAGTTCCAAAATGTCGTTTGCAAAAGAATTCATTGTGAATAAAATCAATAACAACCTTAGCTTTTCATGGAAATGACAAACTTCACGTACCCGTATCTGCACTGGGTACGGGTGCGCGTATTTTGCCGTATTTCATATTTGCGCGTACCGACTGAAATTGTGGTGGTACTGGTACGCGTACCCAAGTTAGCTTTTTTGACGTATTGACCCACTAAGGCACTAAGATTAATTCCGCATCATTTCTGATAATATATTTTAGTGCCAATAACAGGATATTCAGGGAAATATGATTTGCAGATCTGATACTTAGCCTCAAAAAATTATTGCAGTAATCTAATTTCAGCGGCATTACAAAGTCATATTATACTCATATCGTTTAAAATATAATCGTTAATCTCCTTGGTGTGAATACAGTCAAGAAGATACATTTTGTATGTTTGAACAATTGTAAAATGCCATTGTTGAAGTTAATAGTGAAGTGCAGTATACATTGTAACAACGAACTTTATAAAATAACCAATTATAGCTCATTTCAAAATCAGAAAAAGCGAAATACCAAATTAAAAACTGAAATGAAAGTTAAAAACCCTCTGGTTCAATACATACTAGATCAGTAATATGTTCCTGCTGTGTGCTAGTATGCTAATTAATTAATAATAAAGTATGTGCTTCAATTCGATCCCTGCTGTGCCAGTCTCTTCTTGAAGTCAAGTCCCTTTTTCAGTTCTTCTTCACCGGTTGCCTCTTCGTGTTGGCGCACCAAATCGTGACCTGAGAAATAAGTAATTGTAATTTACATAAGAAGTGAATAGTAACTAGATATAACTAGAATTAACTAAAAGAAGTAAGTAGCTACTACTAATGAAATTATGTCAGCTTACCTGCTGTGATTCCCCACTGGTCACACTTGCTGAGTGAGCTCGAGTAAGGTCGACCAGTGCCCGGTTTCAGGTTCTGCCAATACTCCTTGCTAGCCCGGGCTCTGACCTGTTAAACAGGTTTTATTAGTTATCAGATTTTATAGATATTACCACAGTTATTACTAGGGCTCTCTAAATTAGTCTGTTCTGGAGCATTTCTGTACAGGACCCACGTACCACATTCTCGGACAAATAAACCAGAACATATCAATAGAGCTGTTATGAAATAACACGTACAGTCATGAAATAACACGTACACAGATCTAGGATAAAACTAACCCAAGGTTTGGTGTGTTTCTCGAGGCACTTGCCCCAGCCGATCATTCCACTAGCTGGCTCGAAGCCTCCCCTCTCTGCTGACAGTTCCTCACTTAGTGCTCTGATGTGATACGGCTCAAACCCACAACATCCTCCAATAAATCGGATTCCTATGAAGAAATGGATATACTTTATTTAGGAGTTTTGTGATGGTGTTAAAAGATCTCTCATAGGGAGCGGGGAGATACCTGAACCGAAAAGAACAAATATTATACTAATTTAATCTAGGGCACATGAGAAACAACAATGGTCTTTTTGACATTCAGGAAAAAATCGAATAGATTAAAAAATATTATCCTGACCTGCTTCATACGCTTCTCTTGCATATCTTTGCATCTCGAATCTGGTGCAAATCCTAGGTTCAAGAGCGAAGGGGAATTCTGGTAAGTCAATGAAGCCTTGGACACTGGCATCGGGGGTCATGAACGCAAGAGGCTGGATCATGAAATGTACCTGAAACAACAATTTCGTTAATATTTTAGATATAATCTGACCCATTGTCATGTAGTAAAGAGTCTAGCTAAAGTTATTTCAACGAGAATGATATCGGTTAAAACTCAAATTTACAAACCTTATCAAAACCAGCTGCTTTGACATTTTTAATCATCTTCTTAACCGCATCTAGACATCTGAATGGATCATAATGGCAGTTGATTCCGATAACATCAGCGCCTGCTCGTGCCAACTTTACTCCGCACTCTCCAGTTGGGACACCGTGAACATCAGTATCCTCGTTGATGCAAAGACTGGCGCATACGGGAGTTCCGGGCATGAAGTCTTTGACGGCTTCTACATGCCACTCAGCCTCCTCCACATGCTCGTAGTACTGAAACGAAGCAAATTACAAATTCTGTCAAGAATATAAAATGATTCAAAGGAATGAAATTTATCGGGCAACAATATTTAATACCAGTACCACAGTTTGATTATGATCAGCTGAAAGGTTAAGAAAAAATCGAATTGCCCAACTCACTTCGCATATCATAAGATCGACTTCGTTCTTCTTGAAGATCTCGCACTGTTTCCTGACCTCAGCCTGCACCAGGGCCTTGTCACGGGTGGTGATGTAGGATGGAGTTTGGGATACTCCTCCAGCTACAAGTCCTCCTTCTGGGTAGGTTACTTCTTTTACTATGTCACATGCCGCTTGGTTAATTCCTTTTACCTGAACGGAGAATACGTCGTTTTAGTGGTAGTAAAATTAAAAGTGGATGTTAGAAGAATTAAACTTAAATTGGGTGTTCTATTCACCATAAAAAAATTATTTTTCAATTCGACAAAAAATTCATTGTTGATCAAAAGTCAAATATGCACAACAACCTTGACAGAAATCGCCAGCTCTACAAAACTTACCCCATGGGAACCTGCACTATGTCCTCGGTTCTTCAGCTTGTCCTCACTGGCGTAGAAGGTGAAAGCTTGGCAAACGTCCGCACCCGCCCTCAGGAACTCTCTGTGAAGTTGTTTCACTGCCTGATTGAGGACAAAGTCATTATTTACTTTAAATGGTATAGAAGTAAATCTCGCAGCACAGAATTTTCTATCTTAGAGTTTGGGAAGTGACATGGTTAATTTTAATCATTAAATATGTGTTAATTTTGATCTGCACACCTCTGGGTGTTCAATCACAGCCTCAGGAGTCCAGGGTCCAGCTTCGACATATCCTCGTTTCTCCAGAGCGAAAACAAAACCACCATCTCCAATCACTGGTCCTCTATCCAACCTCTCCAAAAATCCCTGCGATACGAACTTAGTTATTTTCATTGTAAACAGGCAATAGCAGGATACTTACCTTTCACAAAACGTAATCGAGGAATATGCCTGTTTCAAAATAGCCAGATTCATGAGAAATTTAGGCGTTGATATTCAAAAAACTTGAGAACATTTGGTATTCTCCAAATTTTTCCAACTTTTTAAGAATACGACTAAATGAGGAGAGTTCCATCTAGTTTCATGATCATAGGGAACGAACATTTTACCCCTCGAAAACATATCTTGCAAAGTTTACACTTCAGTTCAAAGTGAAAGAGCAGAGTCGGAGGTAAAACGTTACGAGGTAACGTTTTCGGGGGGTAAAAAGTGGTCCACACGCTTACCCTTACCCCAGTTGCTCGTGGCATGATGTCTTTGGTAGTAAACTAGTCTTCAGACGCAAACTCAAACAGCTTAAATCGGAAATAGTGACTGACCAACATAGTCCTCATATTTTATAGAACCAAACCCAACCTAACCAGAATCTCGCGTTAGAAAACCAGTACAACCAGTTAAAATAGAAATGTAGTGAACGTACGTTGCATTTGCAAATCTTCCTGCTAGGTAAAAACCTGAAACAGAAAAACATTTACTCCCATTTCAGAGAGCGAGAGAGAGTTAATAACCTGTAATACTATTACATGCCCACGTTGCCGTTCAGGGAGAGAGGGACCAGAAATTTCAAGAATTATAATAACCGGAGTTTAGAAGTTATGTTGTAATAAACATGCAAAACTTGGCACACTACAGACAAAAGCAGTTTTGCAGGATTATACTCAGTTATTTAAAGATCCTCTACTCTTCTACTCCTCATGGTGTGGAATGAAACAGGAATTGAACAGGAATTAAACATAAATTTGTGTTACTGTTAAATGTGTTATACTCAACATCCAGCAAGGCACCGCGACCAACGTTGTTAGTAGTATATAACAGTTCTTGGGAATTAATTAAATTTCTTATGATATTGTATATTTTGCAGTTCACATTTGAAATCTGAAGATGATGAAAAAATTCCGCATAATGTCTGATAATTATTATATTAAATGCCAATAACAGGATATCCAGGAAAATATGATTTGCAGATCTGATACTTAACCTCCAAACAATTTCCTATTGTGGTAATCTAATTTCAGCGTTCAGACTAGGTATTAACTTTAGCTTTTTGTATTTTCCTTAGTAATCGGGTTACTGGCAAAAGTCCCGCAGACATTGGGACGTCCGCGGAGTTTCTCGATGTTATCCGATTTATATGACCCTGAATAACACTAATTACTCGGGTACACTTTTTCACCAGTGGGGCATCTCTCGGAATCACGCCCTTTTTTACTGCGCCCATACTGTGACCCCCACTATTGATTATTCCAGCTTCTGATTGAGATACAGACCTCAAACTTAAACCAAAATGTGCCTAAGATGCATGTTATATTAGTGCTATGAACATACCTAAGGCCTCAGAGGCTTAGTTTTTGATAAATTACCCAACCACCAACGGCACAACCAGGGTATGGTCCGGTGCAAGGGATACGTAGAGTATGTAGAGTATGTATGTAGAGTATGTACTGCAGTACCTGTCCTTACACAGTAACAGCTGTAATACGGCACGATAGGGCTATGCTATATCCTAGATTACAGAACCATTTTAATGGTCATGAACCAATTGCTTCTCGGAGTCGGATTTAATGTGACAAGAAAGAAACTCATAGATATTGGAGCAGTAACGTCCCATGACATATATGGTTATAATGCTCCCCTGACGAGATATTGGTGAAAAACCGTCTCGATCACGTGATATGACCGTATAAGGAAGTTAGTCTAATTTCTCGTTAGGGTTAGGGTTTCAGCATATGCTGTTGTTAAGGATTGGGTTAGGGTAAGGGTTGGGATCAGATTAATGGGTTAAGGTTTCGAATAGTCGTTCGGGACCAGCTAGAGAACGGGTTGAAAAATTCACGTGACAGTCGAGTGTAGAGTGATTAATCATCATCCATACTTTTACATTTTCCAATTCACAAAATTGTTAATTTTAAGGTGTATTCGCTGATTTGATTGCTTATGGCTTTGAGTATAATGACAATGGATCTGGGATCTAAAACCTCAAAAACCGCGGTATGTCATAAAATTTCGCAGCGGACCGCGGCAGTGCACCCCTAAAAGTGGTTAAAGTGACCTCCAAAAGAAAAAGTATTTTGGTGCCCAGCATGCTTGCGCCAGTCGTAAGCGAAATGTAAATTAATATATGACTTATACTCATCCTCATGATAATACTGTTCTACCATTTCTACTGTTATGAGGTGGAATTTCCTTTTAATTGGAATCAATAATTTAATAATTAGTAAAAAGTAGAATTTCAGGTGATCAAATTACAATATCGACAGAATATCACAATTGTACAACATCATTCACGCAAAATCAAACAAAATGTTGATTTGAATTATAATTATATTAAAGGTCTTTGTACTATTTCTCTCCAAAGGAGCAAAAAGTTAACATTTACATTCTTAATCTTAATGATATTGATGTGCTAGATCAAATAAGTACTGTAAAAACTAAAACTAAAACCAAAGGGTGAAAATCACAAAATGGATCGATCATTCCTCTAACACTTGGGTATCTCAAATACACATCCTGTTCTCTTATTATAGATAAATATTTTGTAATTTTTATATCCAATCAAACTGCACAGGTTCAAGTTTCAATGGATCACATATCAGCTTCTGTAATCAAGTTCGTAATATAAGGTGCATTTTTTAACTTTCAAAATAGTTTCACAATTCGGTTGTACAGTTTTGAGCCTCATCCCTGCGGTTGGTCCTCGTGTTTCTAGATCTAGTTAGAATAACGGAGGTTGCATTAAAAGTGCTTGTAACATTCCGAAACGAACGTTTGAAACTCTCAGCTGGTCGAAAGAGAAATTTTGATACGGTATCGTCGTATAGAAGAGGGTTGATGACGCTATTGATAGGTAGAATGACTATAGAGAAAAGTGCATACCAGGGAGTAGCATCCAACACAGAAAGTGAGTGCAAGCAGGATATCAACACGAACGGAATCCAGCAGCAGAAGTCAGTTGCTATTATGATGGAAATCTTTCTTTGCATTCTTCTGCTCCTTTCATTGACTTGCTCGTTGTTATTCATTGATCTTGCAGATCGGATGGATACTATGTTGATGTACAAATAGGATAGCACGATAATGAGGAAGCAGAAGAAGTTTACTGCGAGGATGGACCAAGCAAATACTTTCTGAGGATCTTCATCAGTAACAAAGTATTTGAACAAACACACGCCATCATTGCCGTAAAAGTCAACTTTTCTTTTCTGTAATCCCCCATACAGATCTGAAAACATTTTATCGACCAGTTCTAATATCATTTTCCAGCTCATAGAACTTGGATCACCTTTCGTTCTACCGTAGTACGCTTCAATAACTTGTCCGTGAACTTTTTTGTCCGGGAATCCTACAAACATTGGGTTTTTACTGTCATAACTGATTCCGTTGACAAAAAAATCTTCAAACTGTGGCACTATTGGCGAAACTGCAATCCCTACTGATACCATGAAAATGAGGATAAGCAATGCAGTAACCTTCGTTTTGTCCTTCCAAGAAAAGCCGCCTGAGATGTTCATAGCATTCTTGATACCAACGAATCTTGCGAGGCTGAGACATGTCATGGAAAAAAGCGAAAGCTGTGATCCGATGGTACTAACGACACCAAGAATTGAACATGTTTGGCTGCTGAGCCACTGGGTTTGTCTGGAGCAGTACGATGCCCCGTAGCTATTGTCTATGATAGATATTGCGAACAGATATCCTCCTACAAGTAGGTCTCCAATGCTGATGAATATGATCAGTAGTTTATTTAATAGTCCAACGCTTGTTTTTACCCCTCTTAGATCCTTCAGAGAAATGGATATGATGATGATGTTAAATACCACTGCAAGAGAACCAATGATCCATGAAGATATCTTTAGAGGGATTCCATCGATAATCTCTTTACCACAACCATCATTACATTCATCACTTGAATCTTGACAGTTGATTTGTCCGTCACACTGTTGCCATATTGGAATTCTGGTGTTGGAAGAGTTACAGTGAAATTGGTTAGTGCAGGTCTCCTCATCAGATCCATCCCAACAATCATCTACTAGATCGCATACTTTGTCATAGGTCACACATCGATTATTCCTGCACAAAAAGTAATCGTTTTTATAAGTTTCTCTAGAGGGCATGACAAAAGTCAAATAATCCATGTTATTAATCGTAAAAATTCTGTTCGGGTACTGCCCACTACATGAATCGTATCTTATGGGTCTGGATAGAGGACATTCTGATGCTAAACATTGTCCTGTGCAGCTTGTTAAAAGATACATCTCCCCAAAAGTGAAGTCACAGTTCACTGGCTTTTCAGGCATTCTAATTGTTTTTGAATTGTTTTTTCCGAATGTATTCTCAGATGGGTATCTGAAATTTCTTCTTGTACAATTATTGCTCAGTGTTTGTAGAGTTTCTAGGCCTTTCATACAGTAAGGCACCAGGTGTTCTGCGCCATTCTCATTCTTATGTACTGTGGAGGGCAGCTCTGTTATGCCTCTGGACAACTTACAGATTTCGTTTTCTTTCCCACAAGTGTTGATCATATCACACATCAGTGTTAGAGGAATATATTCGGTCTCACTGTTCAAACACAAGAAGTCATCAGTGCAAGAATCGTTGTTTATTACGTATCTCAGTGTTTGAGCTGAGCCACAAGTAGGCCATATCGGGTTTTCGTCTATTGAAGAAACACAGTCCACTATGCCATCACCTAACCATGCCAGAGGTATTGGAAGACTTTCATTTCCCAACACACGAACACATGTTTCATTTGTCATTGTTTGGCAATCAATGTTCTTCTCGTCACTTTGATCAATGCAGTCGATATTTCCATCGCAGATTTTATGTTTATGGACTAAACAGGAAGGTGACAAATCTTTACAGTTGTTTTCATGCCATCATCACATATTTGAACATTCGTTTTTCCGTGGCACATGACCAGCACAGAAATGTCAGTCCTAAATCCGTTGACCATGCAGGAAATAGCAACTCTTGAGGGATCCGTGCAGTTTGTCTGCTCCATCATATTGGTGCAGTACGGAGTCAGGGGCTCAGTCACCCACCATGTATCAGTATCAGTAACAAGAAAAGGATCGTATCTGAATGCTGCACAGCGGGTAAAGTCGAGGATTGGAACTGTTAAACCTGATACAGAATGCTGACATACATGACCTGTGTATGTTTTCAGAAATTCTGTTTTTTCCCATTGGTAATATGCCATAGAACAGCGGTGATATTGATTGCGACCATCAGCTAAACCTAATCGAAGAATACTGAAATAGAAATCGTTTTGACAAAATTCTCCATACGTGACACCATTACATTGTGCTTCATCCTGACAGTCCGACTCATGGCAGATGTAATCGCATTCCTTACTTACTTGCTCCTGTGACTCCAAACAAACCTTATCCTGGGTTACCTGGGTTACTTGGGTTACCTGGGATACCAAATTACTGCAGGAATCTAATTCCCAGTATCTCCGCATCTGCTGCTTTTAATTTCTTCATTGCTAGAATCATTGCAGATGTAATGACCACACACTAATGTATCAGTGCTAGCTAGAACGTTGTTCCTGTCTACACAAGCTTGGTAGAATTGTTTATCATTTTCGCAAATATCACTAAAGGTAGCTCCATCTGCTTGGATATCAAGAATTTCATAGAGGGTCTCTGAGTATGGGCACTTAAAAGTTTTTCTCCTACTGTCCTGGCACACTGACTTGAGGAAACCATTATCCGCCTTGACTTGACAATCCTCTGAAAGAATAAATTGTATTGATCTTTCAGGTTACAGTAAAAACCAGGTCGTTGTCGAAGCTCTATCATTAGTCATTACGTTATTATTATGTATGGAATTATAACATGATTCTGTCCTTTAGTTCCATGGTTAATCAATTTTGTGAAACATTTGGGAAACTATTTCAATATGCAACACTTTATCAAATAAGTCTTACCTGTCCTTATAGGAACGCATTTCGGAAACCTTTCACTTGATCTATTACCCAAAGAACCGTTCCTACAGACCAACTCCCAGTTTCCTTCTGTCCTGAATCCCTTGTCACAATTTACGGTTATTGAACTTCCTTCGATGACTTCAGCTGGATACATCGCACCATTTTCTACGTAATCACTGCAAACATCTGAAAATCATCGTAAATACTTTACATTTTTCTGGGCAATTTTTCCGTGCATGTTTCCCATTGTAAATTAGTAGTTTTTCATCACATAAATGCTGTTAATTATTTTCGCTATTCATGGAAACAGGAGTTCTCGACTGTAGCTTTTTAAACGGTCGACAAAAAGGAAAGGAATAGAAATCCAAATATAATTTTGGACTGTTGAAAATGTAAAAACCTGGTGGATTAGTGGAGAACACTTCAACTTCACATAAAGATAGAATACATCCGTGACTCACTCCAGATATTATGGTTATATTTCTGGCTACCACACTGCCACAGTTGATGTGGTAAGGATTTGTTCCCTCCTTGTACTTAATCGTCCCACAGAGCTTATTGTCTAGCAATATCTGCACAGTAAAAATTGAGTTTTAGTATTTTGAGTTGTAAGAGTACTTTTGGTGAGAACAATTTCTTGGCTGTTTTAGACAGAAATTGGTATAAAAACTACGTTTAACTTGAATTCCCTGACTAATTTCACCTTCGCATCATCGATTCTATAACTCTCTCGCATCTCGTTCCATATCCGTATCCAGTCTATTTGCACATCAGTAGAGAATTCTAGTTTCCACCAAGCTTCCTTATTCGTAAGGCATTCTTGTTTACGTTTCGTATGTGTATGGGGTCCACTGCGATATCACACAATTTCATTTGTTTCAATTGTTAGAATGCTCCTGCTGAACTGCAGTCGAGCAATTTGGGAAACCAAGCAACAACTATTTATTATATATATATAATAGGGGCAGACACGTGTCATTATCATTAAATTAACATGACCTTACATTGTTAACTAAATTAATCGCTAAACTGAAAGTTTAAACTTACTGAGTTTCTCCGTCAATAGCTCGAGTAGCCACACCCCCATAATCTAAACTTTCTTGTGTTGCTACCCCATACTTTGCTATGTTAACTGGTAATGGAAATTGAGTAAGTTTTCTCACTTTAGGCTATCCATTATCGGTATTAAATCTTTTATCTAGATAAACAGATAAAGATTTAGATTTTATCTAGATATAAAACCGATGAAACCGATAATTTTTCTTCTGAAGGCAAAAACCAACTATTTTCCAAATTTCTCTAGAACTAATTGGCGACTTAAATAAATATTTATTCTAAACAATTCCCTAAAACTATAAACCATAGGTAAGATTTCTAGCAATGATTGGACTCACCACCAAACGTTATTTTGTAAACTTGGTTTGCCCATGGGCCTCCTTGGCCATCATGACGACAAGCATTCGACTCTCCATATTTATTATAGGTCTGATCCGCATCTGCTGCACTTGCACACTGACCTCCATGCTGTAGAGCAAATACTTTGTATCCAAAGGACAAGGCTGCTTTGAGGCACTTTATATACGCATCAGTTCTTGATCCGTAAGAATCTTTGAGTAGAGGGTGTTTCCCTTCAATTGGTTGTATAGCTCTGTTTCATGTATCTTTCCAGCAGCCGAGGTCTTCTATAACCATTTTAGAATCCGAGACTGAAGATTTTTTTGTTTAATTTTTCCCCTCATAAATATAGAGCTTTTAAAAAAGGTGTGGCATGTTGTTTCGCCCCTGAAAGGTTTTAATAAGTGCTCAGCACTGAAAATATTTCATTTTAATCAATAACTCAGTGGTTAGGTATTTAGTACCATTATAATAGAAGTAAGTATCTGCATAAACCTGCTCTTGTATTTAATATTTTGAATTAGCTGGCAGAGAATCCAGACAACCTTTTAACGTAATTGCGGCACTTGCGGCACTAACTTGCAGCAATTGCGGCACTAACTTGCGGCACTAACATGCGGCAATTGCGGCACTATCATGTAGCATTTGCGGCACTAACATATTATGTAATATGTGGCACTTGGCCACACAAGTAGGAAGTAAAATGAGGACCCGAGAACAGATTAAAATAGATCAAAATACGAGCACAGCTCAAAATAGAACAAAATCTGATTGGCAGTCACGCTGCACGTGACTGCCCGCACGTGACTGTGCGCGTCCAATGGACGTTATGAAGGAGATTTGTTTTGGTTATCGCAGGAGAGATCACGTTTAGAGTGCGTCTGTCTGATTAGCCCACGTCACTGCACACGTGACTGTGCAGAGCCAATAGGGTGCTATGTAAGTTGTGTAAGGTGTGTACGCTAGGTGCGTGTAAGGGACATCTAATTTATTATTAAACACAGCTGGCCGGCAGAGAATCGAAAATATAAGGACTTTTTATGGATGAAAATCGAAGCGAAAACCTTGTAACACTATGTTTTCGAGTACGCTGAAAAATATTAAACTGGTTATAATTATCATACTCAAGGACAAATTGCTTTAAAATGTACTTGAATGTCATAGATGCTATTATACCGGCTTATCGAGTGGCACCAGCCTCTCTCGCCACTAGTTCTCAGCTTATTATCAGGCTCGTGAAGGAAAGATCTCGAGCTCTATTAAATTATTAAATCAAAGTTCTAAACAAGGGATAGTTAAAAAAACAACGCCCAAGTCTAATCTTTCCCTAAAACAAAAACTAAAAATTAAAAACTTCATTGCAATTTCCGCCAATATTTCTTGTCATAACTCAAATTACGGAGATAATGCAGGTCAAAGATATTATTCAAATAAAGATTTCTTTTACATAAATCATGCACAATCAGCGAGAATAGATTACTTTGGGGTCTTCCTCTTCTCCCTGGTAAGTCCAGTGTATTGATGGCAAAAATGAGGGAAGAAAACGCTGGTCCGTCAATAGGACCCCGCAAAACATGTCCTAACATTCTCCACCGACTACGGGCCACTTTTTCTGACAATGGTTCAGCATTGCAGCGTTTATACAAGTTTTTGTTGGAGATGACTCCTGGGTACTTTATATTCAAAATAGTGCGAAGATGTCTGCGGTGAACAACATCTAGTTTTTCAAGGAATATTTTGGGGACGGCCCAACAGGATGAGTTGTACATAAGAACCGATACGACTAAAGCATTATACAGTATTAGACGTTTGTTTAGGGGCAGTTTATCACTCCAGGCCTTCTTGTAATTGTTAAAGGCAGCATATCCCAGGATTATGCGACGCTGAGTATCAGCTTTGCTACACAAGACGGACCCTAGAGTGATACTTTTCCTCCATGCTTCATTCCCCGACACTAATTTTCCATCACTGTCGACTTCACCCGTACTAGCTAAATAAACATGAGTGAAGTCCGTTTTGTCTTCATTGACAAAGAGGTTCCATTTCTCGAGTGTAGCTGTTGCCTGGGGCAAAATAGCTCTCAAGTTGTCTTCCTCTTCATCATTGAAGTCAACATCATCAGCATATTCAGTGTCAAGTGGAAGGCCAGCAATAGTAATCGGGGGGATCGGCCTATCTAAACTGATTGTTATAGTCCATCTAAGTTCATTCAAAGCACCAGCCAAGACAAGGGTGAACAGACAGCCGGATAGACAGTCACCTTGGAAAGCTCCAAGGAGACTTAAAAACTCAGCTGAAAGAACTCCATTTACCTTCACCCGTAGCTTTGTGTTGGACAACAACAACCGGACAATCCTCAGCTCATCCTCAGTACAGGCACACAGTTTCAGGAGTTCAAGAATCGTAGTGCGTTTGATCGTGTCAAACGCACTAGACATATCAATGCCCATGCGATGATCTCGAGCTCAGAAGACGAAAACCATTTTCTCAAACATTTGCTAACATTAACGAATACGTATATTAACCAGTATCAAGGATTGTATCGGGACTTCTATAAGAGTATAAGCGGTATTTCTAGTCCGCAGTTTTATTCATAGCGGTTTTATGATGAACTTATTATTATCATATGACTGTGTTAGGGCTACTTACAGATTGGTTGACACTCCTGTTAGCGCACATCACTGCAAACGTGACTGTGCAGGGCCTGAAGTGCGACAGAGAATTTTCAAGGCCGACACTGTCGCACTACAGTACGCTACCTGGACTGTATAATATTCAATTTAAAATCATTGACCCGAAGCCGAAGGAATTATGATCAGCTTGGATCACTTCGAAATACATGACGTGAACCGACGAATCGGGTCCACAAGATCACTTCGAAATAAGTAAAGTGAAAAGACCCGACGAATCAGGTCCACAAGAAGGGCACTCTTACACTCAAGTGCGAAAGAGGATCTGGGGGTCCTTTCCGAAAAAATGCTTAAGTGGCACTTAAGTGTACGGTCGACTTAAGTAGAATTAGTAAAAGTGTTTTCGAAACTCTACTTATGTATTTCCCAAAGTTTACTTATTCTGTTTCAAGTTTGAGACTTAAGTACAAAAATGTACTTAAGTCGCGTTCAAAAATGAACTTAAGTGCAACTTAAATGCACGTGTGAAAGCCGCGCTAAGATTCTCTTTAAAACTCTGATAATTTGTACAATCGTGATGCGCGTTCTGTTTGAGATTAACAGTTGATTGAACGCGTTTCTTGTAATGCTGATTGCAAGGTGGTTGTTAGTTTATTACTGTCGCGATAAAATACTTCCTTGTGTTTGAAAAAGTTTACTGTAATATTAATGATTTAGGAAATCTCTGTTACTCTGATAACTGTTTCTTCTACGGTTCTTTCGGGACATGCACACTTGATATAATAAGGTACTTATTATATGGTACGAAGTTACCATTGACATGGAGGCGGGAGGCCTAGGACGATAGAATGTAGTAACTCATAATTGGTTCGTTATCATTTCACAATATCTTTTTCAAGTTTCAACTCGTGCACGATTGGTATCATAGTAGCCGCAAGAAACTGATGCCGTACTTCTTTCGTACTTCGTAGCTATAATGTCAAAAAATCAGCGAAATGAAATTATTAGACAATTTTTTGTACCATACAATTTTGTAAAGTTAATACTGTAATTATACTATTTAGTTTGCAATTAATAATAATACAATTACATAATAATACTAATTACTAATAATACTAATTAGTTTGCAACCTTTCAAAAACTTGTTTTACTTTTAATATTTTGAGTTATAGTTACAATTTAGGCACTAAAGTAACCTCTAGACCATACTTACATTTTAAGTCAAAAACACGGCACTTAAGTACGTACTTAAGTAAAATTCTCTACTTAAGTAAAAATACTTAAGTGCGAAATATGACTTAAGTTTTTGGACTTAAGTCTCTTTTCGAAAATACTTTTTGCTTAACTTTTTACTTAAGTACCATTTTTGACTTAAGTACCGTTTCGGAAAGGACCCCCTGACCTGAACATGGAAATAAGACAGGATATTGTGTCGCACTAGAGTACGCTACCTGGAATTGGATCGTAGTGCGACACGTACTGTAGTGCGAAAGAGGGTGTTTTTGTCGGACTTCGCACTAGAGCTGTACTTGTCGCACTAGAGTACGTGTCGCACTACAGTACGATTACCCAATGCAGTGCCGTGTACAGTAGATGAATCCATAAATTTGGAACATAGGGACATCGAAGTATTTATTAACTGTATTTGAGTGCTGGGAATCCTCAATTCGGTTTTCTAAGATGGATATTATAGCTAAAAACTAGGCCTGCTTGACACAAATTCAGTAACCGTATTTGAGACTCAAATACGGTTTGAGACTCAAATTTTGAGTGTACGGCTAGACACACCAGCATTCCGACTTGATGACGAGATTGACATGACAGTCAAGATCGTCAACAAGAACGTGAAGAAACCAGGTTTCGCCCCGTTCTGATGAAGATGATATGTGATATTAGACACTGATCATGTACACATATTTTAACATTTTTACTGCTTACCGACTGCTTTTCTTGCTTACCGTATGAAAAATAGATTTTAAAATCATTATTTGGGAAAATGGTTTTCGTCATTTGAACTCGAGATCTTTCCTTCACGAGCCCGATAATAAGCTGAGAACTAGTGGCGAGAGAGACTGGTGCCACTCGATAAGCCGGTATAATAGCATCTATGACATTCAAGTACATTTTAAAGCAATTTGTCCTTGAGTATGATAATTATAACCAGTTTAATATTTTTCAGCGTACTCGAAAACATAGGGTTACAAGGTTTTCGCTTCGATTTTCATCCATAAAAAGTCCCTATATTTTCGACTTCTGCCGGCCAGCTGTGTTTAATAATAAATTAGATGTCCCTTACACGCACCTAGCGTACACACCTTACACAACTTACATAGCACCCTATTGGCTCTGCACAGTCACGTGTGCAGTGACGTGGGCTAATCAGACAGACGCACTCTAAACGTGATCTCTCCTGCGATAACCAAAACAAATCTCCTTCATAACGTCCATTGGACGCGCACAGTCACGTGCGGGCAGTCACGTGCAGCGTGACTGCCAATCAGATTTTGTTCTATTTTGAGCTGTGCTCGTATTTTGATCCATTTTAATCTGTTCTCGGGTCCTCATTTTACTTCCTACTTGTGTGGCCACTTGCACAATGCACAGTTGAATGAGAAATTTGTGGTATTGTTATTTGGTAGACTAGTTGGAGGACCCCTTAAACTCTCCTCACGTCCGAAAATGGCGTTTCTCTTGTATCAAATATGTAGTAGTATGTATGGTCTAAACTACTGTCGAGCTCTATGCAATAGAGCTCAACTTCTAAAGACTAAAACTAATAACAGCGCGGAAAAAGTATGCTTTTTTGTAGAGATTCAAAAATTATTACGCAATTAAAATGGTAATTGAGGGCATACAGAATGCAGAAGGTGTTCTATCATTTATAAACTATATCAGTGATAGACAGTTTTTGGGTTTTCCAAATAGTTTCTGATTATTCTGATTTGCGACAAATGATATTGCACTGTTAGGATAAACGACGTTTCAAAGTAACAACTTCTTATTCATGCTCAAATTATTTGTTATATAGTAGTGTTGAAAGTATTAAATCAGTGATGATTGGTATTGTTTTATACATATCACGAAACGGATAGTTTGCCCGCCAATTCGACTTGTTTCAATTGTTCGAATTATATAATACAAGCATTCGGGAACCGGTCACTGCGGCGGAAGTCACTGCGGCGGTGGACGGTACAGCGGAGGACGGTACAGCGGAGGACGGTACGGCGGTAGTTTCCAAAAAGGTTGGACGGTACGGCGGATCACATGACACCCACTTTACTTTGGACAGTACGGCGGTACTACTACTAGAAACTGTACCTAAGACAGAACTTACACATTCAACTTGTTTCTAAGTTTTGTTCTATATTCGCATTATAAGTTTTATTTTTTCTTTTCTCTTTATCATTTTGTATAATTCTTGTTAGTTTAGTTGTTACTTTTTTTATTCAGGGCTTTGCAGACAATGTAAATCGAGAATATTGAGTTGTTGAAAATCAAAAAGTGAATATAACTTGACACACTCAATAGCAATAATATCTAAATCCCAAGTGATGTGATGAAGTTGTAGATGGTGGGGTTGGAGTGTCCAAGGATAGCGGAGAACTTCTTGTTCCAGGACTCCACAAAGTTGTTCGTTCTGTTCATGTGAAAGTGGGTCCGATCGTAAGCGTTCCAGGAGAGTGGAGGGAACTTAGCTCGTCCAGTACCAGAGGAGGTGGTGAGTCCCTGGATCCATGTCGTCTGGAAGTAGGCGAGGAGGTCGTCGATGTCCAAGGTCGGTGGCATCTGGTCCAGGATACGTCCGGTACGTCCGCTGTAGGAATGTAGGCGAGGATCATCAGTCTGCGTATCCAGATCCGGCCAGAGGCACATATTAGGTGCGGTAAAATTATAGGGCGTGCAGTTGCACCATAAAAATAAACTTGCTCGGATTTTAAAAATTTTTGTACCATTGTTTTCTAGAGACTGTGAGAATTTTCACAATACCAAATTTGTCATACCTTTTTGGAAAGATCAGTGAGTTTCGCCTAGGTGCCATATTTGATGGTGCGCGGCTTTTGGAGCAAAATTAGCTGTAAAAGTCGCGAAATTTGACCAAATTCGTTGATTTTTGTCGTATTATTTGGATATATCTTCAGTTCCTTGAATGAGATCATTCTGAAAATTGGCGACGACCTTCCAATAGTGAATAGGGCTTTCACAACTGTCCGAAAAATTTGGTGGATATCGGAGTTGATATAGTAATCAAAATGGGGCAAAATACGCTGCTTTTAGCTGTAACATAATGTTTGATGGTTGGATATGCTTCAAACTTTTCGGACACTTTCCTTGTAAGTCTATCAGTAAGCTTACCAATTTTTGTTGCAATCGGAGGTCGGGAAGGATACTTAATATCTATTTGTTTGAAGAAAATTGTGCTGGCCGAAATTAGCGCTAAAAAACCATCCTACAGTCGGTACGCGCGGCTCACTGTCGATGGCGCACTACCTAGTAAAAAAATGGAAATTATGCGGTACCGCACCCGACTATAAAGGTAAAATGTGCGGTAAGGTGCGGTAAATTTTTACCAATTATGCGGCAAATGTGCGACGATTTTTTCGAAATTTGTGCGGGAATTGTGCGGTTTTCTTTTGTATTTTCTGAAGGACTTTGGAAATTCTAAACGTATAACCGCCGCTCTTATCAAAAATAGGTTTCTTTATGTGTTACTGAGGGTGTAGTTCTTTACTAAGTCCATGATTGAACCTATATTGAGATTCAGTTATCTGAGAACAGTGACTTGATCTGGTAGAGATCAGGAGACAGTTATTTGAAGACGCCTCTTGATAGAGTCGATCAGATCCCATGCGTGATCGCAAATATGTGACACGCTTGTTGGCATTGATCGTCAGTAATTGTAAACCATTTGATCCAAGATCCATTAAGCCCGATATAAAGCCAACGCTACAACGAATAGAGCTCATTACCCGATAAAAAGGGCTGCAGGTATGATCGAAGTACGGTAACGACGAGGGTTCCATAACGGCCTGGGTCACGGTCCCGAAAGGGCCTGGGTCACGGTCCCGAAAGGGCCTGGGTAACAGTCCCGAAAGGGCCTGGGTCATGGTCCCGAAAGGGCCTGGGTCACGTGGTAACTGGGTCACGTGGCCTAGGTATGAGTTCCAAAAGGGCCTGGGTCACGGTCATGCTAGATTATGCGGAAATATGCAGAAAATTACAAAATGTGCGGAAGTGTGCGGAAAACAATAAATTATGCGGAAATGTGCGGAAAATGGTAAATTGTGCGATCCCGCACCCATCGCACCTAATATGTGCCTCTGACTGATCCGGGTAGGAGTGTAGGTTTTCTGACCAGTAGTGGGATCCGTCGTAACTCGCTCGTACTGCTCCTTGTAGCCAAGTCGCTGGACAGCCCGCATCACCGTACCAAGAGCTGCTGTCCTCCAGGGCTCGTAGGTTCTTCTCCGTCCCAAAGATGATAACTCGTCGCTCGTCGTCTTTGTTATCAAACTGGAGCATAGGTTCGCCAGCCAGAGACATGCAGTCGTCCTCCTCCAGTTCAAGGTCTGCCAGGTTCGTCGGAGCTCTAGGGACAGGGTTCTCCTTCCAAGGGGCTCTCTGAGCTTGCTTCTTCACCGCTTGTTCACTGGGGAGGAGGAAGCGAGCAGTCTGGGACAGCGAGCCAGTAACGGAGCAGTAGATTCTGTGGTTCTGAGTAATCGTAGTCGCAGCCAGATCGTGGACTTGGGAGAGGGTTTCTCGGACTTCGCAGTCAGCTATGTCGGCACTGTGGTTGTGAGGCTGGGTGACTGACACCAGGGATCCGTTGAGGGTGTAGAGTCGTCCCTTGCATCTGTCGTTCTTCTTCACGCACCTCCAAGCCTGTCGTCCATCCAGAGTCGGCTTTCCATCTTTGGAGTAGCGGAAACCACGGTGTAGAAGGTTCTGACTCTTAGCAGTTCTTCCTCTGACCACCTTCACCGTATCTTCATCGAACATCGTTGTAGCTGTTGTACTCAAGTTGTAGTGTTGCAGTACTGGAGAGTGGAGATGGTGGTGCTAATGAGATAATCTCCTCAACTTTGAACCGCTTTATATACTGTTTGCCTCTATCATTATCTACGTTTCACTGAGCAACCTCTCTTCTTGGCTACGGTTGATCAGATTCCTGGATGCGATCCCTCGTGACGTGTTCTCATGCCCTTGTTATTACCCATTGCATCTCGGCGCAGTGATATGAGATCTCACCGTAACAAGCTCATCGTGCACTCGCTTAACCACCGTTGTGCAGACCGGACGCGATCTGATACGAACCAGAAAGTGGAACAAGAACTGCTCTTAGTAATCACAATGTATATGTTAAGCTCTATCCAATTTAATTTTAATTTAATTTAATTTCGAAGTAACAAAGAGGAAAATAGAACTTTTTATAGCTAATCGATTTTGTTATATTAGCAGTGCTAGGTCTATCTTATAGGTACAGTTTTTAGTAGTAGTAGTACCGCCGTACTGTCCAAAGTAAAGTGGGTGTCATGTGATCCGCCGCACCGTCCAACCTTTTTAGAAACTACCGCCGTACCGTCCTCCGCTGTACCGTCCTCCGCTGTACCGTCCACCGCCGCAGTGACTTCCGCCGCTGCGTCCTATACCCCAAGCATTCCCAAACCGATTTCATTTAATTTGCTCCTTCATAAAATAGAAAAATTATAATTTCAAATTTGGACACGAGTCTTGAAACACCTTGTACTTACCACATTTAGGTATTTCACAGAACTCAAATCTAGGTTTAGTTCCTTCGGCATTATAACACCAGGGGCCTGAATCACTGCGGGAAATGAAGACATATGTTTGTTAAGAATTTCTGAAAAGAAAATTCACAGATCCTTTACATTTCTAAATCCAAATTCATTGCAGTTTTTATTTTGTATATTTCACTTTATAAATGTGTTGCCCATATCTTGTGCTGGACTTGATGACAATGGAACGCTACCGGATATTGAAGACTTACCCGTCTGGATTTCTACAATAGTTCTCTTGCAGTCCTGCGTCAGGGTAACTGAAAATATTGTTTTGATAAACACCTCTCTTGAAGCAAATAATGCGTTCAATCGTAACTGGACATTGTTATGAAATACATTTTCAACGTCTCGAAAAAACATTGGATTATGTTGATATGATGTATTATATAAGGCCGGTACATGTGTTTAAACGTTTCACGAGATATAAATAGTCTATCAGCTATGATACGAATTGTATACTGTTTTTTGGGTGAGACTGTTTAATGTTGTGACTAATAAAAACTTACTTCTCGGAAGTCATTGCCTTGTGTTTATTAGGTGATTGAGAGTCCCATCTCTGGCAGACATGTCCTGATGCTGTGACAGATACAGTTCCCCTGTACTCTGATCCATCCTCATCTGCTTTATCGATACATAGGTCGGATACTGAAACTTAAGTTGTTTTCATTATTACTTTTAGAAACGTTAATGTATGAAATATCGGAATAGTTTCTTGGCTCCATTACGAAAGAAATATCCAGCGCACCAGTATTCCATTTCTAATTCTAGTCCCTTTAAAAAAGTGATCATGGTTAGTGGTTACTATGCAATTTCCTATTTCTCGTCTAATTTTCACGTGGGCGGTCGTACGAAGATAATTCTTTGAATTATAATAATGATATATGTACAATCAGACAGATTTATTGGTGAAAATTATCAGGTTATAAAATATCTCAATCAAAATGAAAGACAGCTAATATAACGATGATCAAATCTATACATTATGCATGTAGCATACCTATATAGGTACTGTGTGTTTCTATACGTCTTATAGATGTGGATTCTGGTCGTTATATAATAGGTGAGGCATGTTATTTTTTCATACGTGACACTAACAGTTATTCTGGTTAATTGCTGTCACGTGTCAAAACGAAAATGCCTCACCTCCGCACCAGAATCCACATGTTTAATGTTTACTCAGCTCTGTATACTTACCGAGTGATGTTGAACCACAAACAATTGACGTAGAGAAGAAGGCTCCGATTGCTATCCAAAAAGAGCATAAAGCTGCCATATTTCTACACAATTGGAATATAAAGTAAACTGGATTTTATATCAACGTTTTTATTCCAAGCTCATCCCTCCATAACAACTAAGGTATGCACTATGCACTATGCAGGTATGAGAATATGAGAATATGAGAATATATGAGAATATATGAGAATATATGATAATATGAGAATACGAGAATACGAGAATACGAGAATACGATAATATGATAATATGATAATATGAGAATATGAGAATATGAGAATATGAGAATATGAGAATATGAGAATATGAGAATATGAGAATATGAGAATATGAGAATATGAGAATATGAGAATATGAGAATATGAGAATATGAGAATACGATAATATGATAATATGATAATATGAGAATATGAGAATACGAGAATACGAGAATACGAGAATATGAGAATATGAGAATATGAGAATATGAGAATATGAGAATATGAGAATATGAGAATATGAGAATATGAGAATATGAGAATATGAGAATATGAGAATATGAGAATATGAGAATATGAGAATATGAGAATATGAGAATATGAGAATATGAGAATATGAGAATATGAGAATATGAGAATATGAGAATATGAGAATATGAGAATATGAGAATATGATAATATGAGAATATGAGAATATGAGAATATGAGAATACGAGAATACGAGAATATGAGAATATGAGAATATGAGAATATGAGAATATGAGAATATGAGAATATGAGAATATGAGAATATGAGAATATGAGAATATGAGAATATGAGAATATGAGAATATGAGAATATGAGAATATGAGAATATGAGAATATGAGAATATGAGAATATGAGAATATGAGAATATGAGAATATGAGAATATGAGAATATGAGAATATGAGAATATGAGAATATGAGAATATGAGAATATGAGAATATGAGAATATGAGAATATGAGAATATGAGAATATGAGAATATGAGATATGAGGATATGAGGATATGAGATATGAGGATATGAGGATATGAGATATGAGAATATGAGAATATGAGAATATGAGAATATGAGAATATGAGAATATGAGAATATGAGAATATGAGAATATGAGAATATGAGAATATGAGAATATGAGAATATGAGAATATGAGAATATGAGAATATGAGAATATGAGAATATGAGAATATGAGAATATGAGAATATGAGAATATGAGAATATGAGAATATGAGAATATGAGAATATGAGAATATGAGAATATGAGAATATGAGAATATGAGAATATGAGAATATGAGAATATGAGAATATGAGAATATGAGAATATGAGAATATGAGAATATGAGAATATGAGAATATGAGAATATGAGAATATGATAATATGAGAATATGAGAATATGAGAATATGAGAATATGAGAATACGAGAATACGAGAATATGAGAATATGAGAATATGAGAATATGAGAATACGAGAATACGAGAATATAAGAATATGAGAATATGAGAATATGAGAATATGAGAATATGAGAATATGAGAATATGAGAATATGAGAATATGAGAATATGAGAATATGAGAATATGAGAATATGAGAATATGAGAATATGAGAATATGAGAATATGAGAATATGAGAATATGAGAATATGAGAATATGAGAATATGAGAATATGAGAATATGAGAATATGAGAATATGAGAATATGAGAATATGAGAATACGAGAATACGAGAATATGAGAATATGAGAATATGAGAATATGAGAATATGAGAATATGAGAATATAAGAATATGAGAATATGAGAATATGAGAATATGAGAATATGAGAATATGAGAATATGAGAATATGAGAATATGAGAATATGAGAATATGAGAATATGAGAATATGAGAATATGAGAATATGAGGATATGAGGATATGAGGATATGAGGATATGAGGATATGAGGATATGAGAATATGAGAATATGAGAATATGAGAATATGAGAATATGAGAATATGAGAATATGAGAATATGAGAATATGAGAATATGAGAATATGAGAATATGAGAATATGAGAATATGAGAATATGAGAATATGATAATATGAGAATATGAGAATATGAGAATATGATAATATGAGAATATGAGAATATGAGAATATGAGAATATGAGAATATGAGAATATGAGAATATGAGAATATGAGAATATGAGAATATGAGAATATGAGAATATGAGAATATGAGAATATGAGAATATGAGATTATGTATACACTGTATGATAGTTACAAGGGCGGTTCTTTCCGAAAATGAGGACACGAGGGCGGATCACGTGATATTCACTTTAACATGGACACGAGGGTGGAACCATACACCGTCCCAAATGATGAACTAGTAAAAAACTTGAGATGCATAAAACAATTTCATTTTAACTTTTTCTTATAAGCGTCAACCTACTTTTAAGTTTTATACACATAAATAATATTGTCCAGCTGTTAACGTATAGCCAATAGCCATATATTCAACAACTTAATCAAATCTAATAGTAATAAATAAAACTGAATGACCAACTCTTTATATAATTTTAAGCCAATGAACACACTAATATAAAAGTTAGTTAATAAGCAACATGTGAAATTAATTATATTTTTCCTCTAGCTCTTAAGGAAAGTAGCGCCCTCTGTCCTATAACTACTGGTGCAGGGTATTATATATATTATATATATATCAAATAATTATTATACCAATAGTATTAATTTCTGAAATAATTATAATTAAAACACTTTTCGTAACATGGAGGGAAACTACATATTTTCGTGGATCTTCCCTGTCACGTGTTGTTAAGCTGGCCGGCATTAGTAAGTACATTTTAGTAACGGCATGCACCGGGTATACCTAGAAGTTTACTTCTGATTCATTCAAGCGAGACTGAGTGTGGAAATATCAAGATTGTGACTGGTCTGTTGTAAGTTCCGCATTCCTAAGAGCAATTTAATACAACCACACCGATGATGTTTCCTGTTTAGGCCTAGCAGTAGACATTAACATAGGTCAAATATCAAACAATCAGCAGTACGTTGTAACCATGCCAGAGTAAACAAGAAGTAACCAGAGTAGACAAGTTATTATCAGAAATGATATGCAGTTGGCATATCCTACCAGACCCCTTGAGCGCGATTGCTGCACGACTTAGGAGACCCCCAATTATTAGGGGTCGCTCGGTGATCAGATCATGCCACCAACTAGTGACGTATAATTAGGAATACAAGGAATACTTGTATTACTTAAGGGGAGATACACCAAAAACGTTTTTGCTCCGAACATCGATTTTATTTTATATTATGGTTAAATAGACAAAAAGAATAAGATTGCACACCTTCAAAATTTTCTAAAAATATTCCCTCATCGAGAAAAAATATATTTTTCTTTTTCGAAAATTTTTAAAATTTGGAGAAGTCTGTCACTGTAATACCGATAGTTCGGCCATTTTAAAAGTTTTTTGGCTGATTTTTTTACTGAAAATTACTTACAATCCGTACAAGAAGCCATTGAAAGGATTATATAATTGAACGATAAATGACGAAGTTACATACCAAACAAGGTCGAAAAAATAAAAATTGAAATTTTTCCCACTTCTAAAGTTGTACATTTCACCAATCACCCGGGTCAGCAGATATCGCTTCAAAAATTTTTGTGAGTGTAGCTGATGATCATATCAAACTTTTTGGAATAGGATTTCTCTCAGATTTGAGTTTTAAGCTATGCAATGTGGCCTCAAACGACTTAGTAAAATTCATCGTAAAAAAAGGGCAAAAAAAGTTACTGGGCCGCGCTCAGCCTGTCATTCCGCCAAATCTTTATTTATAATGAACATAATAGCCTGGGGTCCTCAGGTAAAAAAAAAGCAGATTTAAGGCTTAAAATGCCTATAACTCAAAAAGTATCAGTTTTTTTGAAATAATTTTTACAGATTCGTAATCAGCTTGGTAAGACGAATCTTTTAGTACCGAATAGGTGCTTTTAGAAGACAAATTGTCTTAAATAATTTTCTAGCTCGAACACAAGGGTCCCCCCTTGTATAAATTTTGTACAAATTGTACACATTTTTTTACAAATTTTGTGTTTTTAAAAATATTATAAATGTCGTACTAAAAGATTCGTCTTACCAAGCTGATTACGATTCTGTAAAAATTATTTCAAAAAAACTGATACGTTTTGAGTTATAGGCATTTTAAGCCTTAAATCTGCCTTTTTTGCCCTTTTTTACGATGAATTTTACTAAGTCGTTTGAGGCCACATTGCATAGATTAAAACTCAAATCTGAGAGAAATACTACTCCAAAAAGTTTGATATGATCATCAGCTACACTCACAAGAATTTTTGAAGCGATATCTGCTGACCCGGGTGATTGGTGAAATGTACAACTTTAGAAGTGGGAAAAATTTCAGTTTTTATTTTTTCGACCTTGTTTGGTCTGTAACTTCGTCATTTATTGTTCAATTATATAATCCTTTCAATGGCTTCTTGTACGGATTGTAAGTAATTTTCAGTAAAAAAATCAGCCAAAAAACTTTTAAAATAGCCGAACTATTTGTATTACAGTGACAGACTTCTCCAAATTTTAAAAATTTTCGAAAAAGAAAAATATATTTTTTCTCGATGAGGGAATATTTTTAGAAAATTTTGAAGGTGTGCAATCTTATTCTTTTTGTCTATTTAACCATAATATAAAATAAAATCGATGTTCGGAGCAAAAACGTTTTTGGTGTATCTCCCCTTAAGATATTTATAAGTATAATCACTGTTATTATTAATTAGCGGACTAACATCGCTCGCTTTTCCCATTCATTCACGGCCTACAAGTAATTTATTATTGGCGAATGAATTTCCCAAGGGTTTAAGATCTTAAAGCTTTAAAGAGTTAAGAACAGCTGCCCACGTACGAGTAAGGCACTAGGCAGTGATTACAGTAATAACTGTTGATTGACCATTCCAGATCGTAGAGGTCTGCAACACATTCTCGCTTTGCACATGCATTGTTTTTATCTCGCTATGACTA